CAATACAATCCTCGGGCTAGGAACTATGTTGAAATTCATTATCCTTCCAGGAAAGTTCAATTACAATCGAGGGACTTGGATGGTTGGCCTAGTCGAGAGTCATTCCTCAATTGACTCAATAATCTTGAAAAGTTCTTTCCCTTTCACACATGAGTGATTCGCGTCGAATTTGTCTTGTTAATATGCCACTGGTCGGTTCTGTTAGGATTTATTGAAAATCTTATTTACGTAATTGTCTACATCAATGCTCTATCACTTTGTGGGATGAGTGAAATGAATATTAAGTAATAATGTGTTATTGTGTATTATCAAGCTTAATTGTTAAATTAATTCTTTTTGTAATGTATTCAAGGTATGTCTACAGTTAATGAGTAGCTAGCTCACTTTGAAGAGTTACTGCACAATCATTATATTTATGAACCTCTCCACATTACAATGTCTAGGTTTTTTAGTGGTTTGAATCTTGTCCTGCGACATTCCAACACTCCAATCCTTAGATGAAGCTTATCAGTAGGCCAATCTTTGGTAAGTATCTTTTCAAATTTATCAATCATGTAAAAAACTAGGTTTACCACTTCAGTCAATTTGTAAGTCTAGGTCTAGGAAGCCTAGATATTGCATCATGTGAAAACAGCGCTAAAAGAAAAGACCAATAAGAGCTGTTAATCATCTTGCTGAAGAAGAAAATAAGATTTTTATTATTGAACATATTGACTTTTATGACATAATTGACCATGATACGGTTGAGAAATTACCTATAGTTTAATCATCCCAACCAAACTGTTTGCCTGCTTCTGAGTGCGCCTTTTGAGAATGCCTTTATTGTGGCGTTACCTCAACTAATTGATACTTCTCGAGTTTTCACAGTTTTTTCAAGGCCATGCTCCGCTTACGTACTCTTGACTCTTCCTACCTACATACGGATTTATTTTATTAATTATCTACATATTGTTTTAGCTCTTACCTTTTTAGTCAACGTTCCTAAGTTTTATGCCACGTTAAAAAGACAATTTATTTTAAATCATAATTTTTTAATTTTTAGCTTACTTTGATTCACAATATAAGCTTGAAGACTTTATAATGGCAATTATTATGCTTTATTGCATGTTTCCTTGACTCGATTTTCTAAATAAGTAAATAAAAAAGTTTAATCTTAGAAAGAGTAGAAAGGGACTCTCCCCACGAGACAAGGAGGCCAAGCTTTGAAAAATGGATGGGCCTTTTGCAATCTGAAAATGAACATGGATGAGTTGACACAAGGTGAGGTTGATTGCAAACTTATCTCCAAAGGATGCTCAAGCTATTTCCCTTTGGAAGGTTCTAACTTTTGCTTGGTCCAATGCACGAAGTGGAGTTTGATGTCTTCATTGTGTTCTACTTCATTAATATGCTCGAGAAATTGGATGTTGTTTACGGTGCTTTGTTCAAATGAAGTGAACCATAATCTAGCTGTTTTTCTGCTTCTATCTTCCCTGTATTTATGCTTTCATAGCACCTCTTCTTTGCGCTATTTTTTAAATATAATTTCCCTTTTTCGTCAAAAAATAAAAATAAAAATAACTATGGATGGTCGAAGGTTTAATAAGAATATGATTGATTATTATTATTCTTTTTAAACTTGTTTCCATGTAATTAATTAATATTTGGATAGCCATGTTCACTGAAATTTGGAGTAAATTTTTGAAAGAGAACAATACATAAATCAGGTTCTTAATAAACAATATTTCAAAATTAAGGATAGAAGTTTTAAATTTCAAAAATCAGACTTTCATTAAAATTTATTTATGATTTAATTAATTAATTATATATTTAATTAATAAATATATAAATGTCACATATATATGAAATTTGGTCATAATTCAAAAATTTTATAGATTACAGATCATTCATCGGTCACAAATTAAAAATTTTAAAGTCACAATTTATTTATCGATCACAAAATACAAAATTTATAAGTCACACAACTTATTTAATGGTCACAAAACATCAAATTATAGGTCACAACTCGATTATAACTTAATAAATTGTGAGTCACGTTCATTATTTTTATTTCACACGTTATTAATTTGTCAAAAATTAACCAATTATTTGTCACAATCAACCAAATAATTGGTCACATACACCCACGTCCATCTCATCCCACCTACGACCATCGACACGACACCGCACACACCCAACCGCGAATTAGTCACATATTAGTCAGGTCGCAATCATCCAAATTGGTCACAAACCACTTCATCACCGCACCCTACCCTACCCCTACTCCACCACCACCATAGCTGCCACAACCACCGCTTCCGCCGTACCCCACCCTAACCCCAATCTACTACAACCACTACTACCGCTGCCAATACACCACACCATCACCCCCTGCGCTACGGCCTGCAACACCACCGATCTGTAAATGTCACCACCATTACCACACAACACCACTGTCATTCACCATTAACCACACACTACCATAAAATAAACACAAATCCCGTAGCTACCTCTGCGTAGCGCCAGCACCATCAACACCAAAGCGGCTCCTCCACCACCACGCCACACCTCTCTATACACGTAGATCTGGATCTGACCGCGACTGAAGTTGCAGCGTCTACAGATCGACGATGTGCCATGTATACAGGTCCAGATTGGAGTTTCTTGCAGGCTGCGCTGTGCCATCGACACAGACATCATCGCGATTTTGTGACGCCACTTTGCCGGAGAGTCTCTTCCAGGGAGCGTCGCTGAAATGGGAGAAGAAATTGAGCAAGGCGGCGGGTTCGGCCGATGGGTAGAGAGAAAGAGGAAAAGTGAGAAGATAGAGAGAGAAAATGGGAATAGAAATGAATTAGAGTTTAATTTATAATATTTAAATATGAATTATTAATTATTCATAAAAACCTGATTTATGTATAATTAAATTTAAATATGAATTATTAATTATTCATAAAAACCTGATTTCTGTATAATTAAACTTGATTCTTGATTTATGAAAATGAAATTTAAAACTCATTCTATCTGTAATTTCCTCTTTTTGAAATGATCATTGAATTAGTTTTCTTATAGTACTATCACTGAAGTTTTTAATGGTTAATTGATTAAAAATATTTTATGTTAAATGACAACAAACGTCATTAGTAATTATACTAATGGTTAATTGATTAAAAATATTTATGTTAAATCTTAAATAGTACCTTAGATGTCAACATAGAAAAAAAAACAACATAGTTTACGTCTCATTATTTGAGTTAATTACCCCAATGATCATTGAAATTTGGAATAAATTTCAAAATGGTTATATAATAATTGTCTTACAATAGTATTTTTATGAATTACACTAATGATCACTCTGTAATTGGCTAACGATTTTTATTTCAACAAGTCAAGAGTTCAAGGATAGACCTCCTCTATCTTACCATATCGTACCCTACCCTCCACTCTACCGTAACTCAAAATAAAAATAAAAATAAAAAAGAATGAAAGAAAGAAAATTGTCGCGCAATTAGAAATCAATTTTTGTGTCATTTCCGTAAATGTCCTTTTACATTTTCGAAAATGGATTCAGAAGTTGATTGGGCTTCGTCTTGGGCCTAGCAGACTTCTTCTGCTATAAAGACTGGCACAGTTCTTCGTGAACGAGGGTGGAACCCTTCTCTCTCGCTCTCTCGCAAGCTGCTGCCTGCTTTGAACCGGTAAATAATTATTCATTCGTGAATGAAATTGAGTAAATTTTATGTTCTCATCATTATAATTTTCGCCTCGTCTTAGGCTTTTTTTCTTATTTGTTTTTGATCCCCCCATATGTTCATTATTGCGTCTATTGGAGAGAATTTTTTTTGTGATCATACACCGCTTGATTTTCTTGAAATTTATGTTTCCTGCTTGTTACTCATCGTTTTATTATGTGTTTTTTTGTGTGTATATAGAAATATACCCTAAGCCATCACTTTGAACCTTGGAAATATGTGCAAAATTCGAAATGTAAAGGGTGTGTATTGCAAAGAAACCTCCATTCTATGGTTTCTCTTTTAGTTTGGTGGTTTAGCAAGTAGAAGAAACGTAGTACCACTGCAAAGTGAGATGATCAAACTATTAAAATTTCGGTTTGCTCTATTTCGTTTGTGATACTATTTTGTGTGTCGAGGTTTGAAGTTTTGAGTTAAATTTCATGATAGAAGATTGTCAGAGGAAAATTATATTTTTTTTCTGCAGTGTTTTATATGGTCTCTATTCGCACTTAGATTAAACGTAATATATTTTCACCATACAATCAATCTTAGCAATATTTTAAAATAAGTATCAGTTTATTTTAATATACTGTGAAAAGTTTTGTTCTAATGATTAATTACGGACGAAAGATCTTGAGTGACCATGTGAAATAATTCCTCGAAAGATAAGAATTTTGAAGGAATTAGGTGATAAGATTTTTGGCTCATTTAGGATTTCAGGAATAATGGTGGCCCATAACTTTGGCCACTTGTACATTTCACTTAGATATTAGAGGAGTAGAGGGATTTTGTACTGTCTTTGTGATTGTGAATAATCTTAACACTTTACATGTTACCAAGAGGCCACCATACCTTTTTTTATTTTTTATTTTTTAATTATCTTCCTGGACATGCCCTCTTTCATGATGCAGTTGTTATACACCTTGACCTTTGAGCATTTTTTTTCCCTTCAATTTTTTAGATATTTCAAAATGGTGTTGCAGTCTTAAACCTTCATATTAGCTGCATAAATTATGTAATTTTTTTTTACCTTCTGTCTATTGTTGCTTGTAATTCCTTACATTTTCCTTATGTTTGTTTGTTTTGGGTGCATTAGTTAGATTTGGATTGTGTTTAGTTTTTTTGTGGAAATTTGAAATAATTATGGCCTTTGTTGCTATTCTGGGATGAAGGCAGACAGACTCAAAAGTCTTCAGTCATTTTATATGAACAAAGACTCCAAGCATGTCTGGTAATCCGACTTTCGTAGATGAGGATGCTTCTTCAGGATCAGGAGATGAGGCAAACATGTTGGATGGACACAATAAACCTCAATCTGTGACGCCGAATTCAGGTCGACGCAAGAGAAGTCGTAAAGCTACAGGTGATGCAATAGTTGATGCTATGCTTGAAATAGCAGCTGCTTCAAAGATGAGGGCAGCTGCAATCATGAGGAATGAGGAGCGTTTTACTATAAGCAAATGCATAAGACTATTGGACGAGATGCAAGGTGTTGATCAAAGTCTCTATTTTTATGCTTTGGATTTATTTGAGAATCCGACATCAAGAGAAACTTTTGTAGCTCTTAAGGTTGAGAGACGATTAGCGTGGTTGCAGGGAAAGTTTAGAGCTTCCTCAAGTACATCAGCCTGAGGAATTTGATGTGCTTTTTCGCCCTTTTACTAAAGGATCCTCTACTTTATCTCAGATTTGTATTGATATTAGTGAACTTTGCTGTTTTGACATTGTACTTGGTTTAACAGGTGTGATTAATGGCTGATGCAAATCTTTTGATGATTTTAATGGTGTTTTTTAAACTCTTTTCTATTCCATTCTCTTGAAATATAATCATTGTTTTTCTTTTCCCATGATCTACCGATGTTGAAAAATCATGTAACCATGCATGTGTGTTGTACTATACATCCCTACATTTCAAAATCTATTTGTACAGATTCATCAGCCGTTATGGATGACTTTGACATTGAATTGGATGAGATGGAATTAGTTCTGGATTCTTGTTTGAAGTACTCAATGGCCATGATGATTTGTGTCAAGAATGTTCAGGATGGACAAGCACGTGTTTCGCGAGTTGAGTGATACTCTTCGACAAAGATGCATGCTACATGACACGGCAGGTGTTATGATAGAGGAGCACTTGGCCATTTTCTTGAACATTGTTGGCTACAATGAACGTAACAGAGTAATTCATGAGCGTTTTCAGCATCAGGTGAAACAATAAGTAGACACTTCAATAATGTATTAGGCAATCAAGTCATTATTGCATGAGTTCCTTCAAATGTCACCTCACATTCCTCAAGCAGAGATCCTGCAAAGCAATAGAATTTACCCATACTTCGAGGTGGATAGCTGATCACTTTCTATTGATTTCAATATAGATTTTATGGTGTTATTTACTAGATTCATCTCTATTTAGGATTGCATTGGGTTCAAAGATGGCTTGCATATCCCTGCTCAGGTGCCTGTCAAAGATCAATCTAGATTTCGTAACAGAAAGGGTGTTCTAACCCAAATTATGTTAGTAGCCTGCACGTTTGATCTCCTGTTTATATTTGTTTATCCTGGTTGGGAATGCTCAGCTCCAGATTCTCGTGTGCTGAGGGCTGTCCTTGGGGATCCTGATCAGAACTTCCATCAAGTTCCTGAAGTTTGATAATGATTGCTAAGCTTCCTATATGATGTGTTTGCTTATTTTAATGGTGATATATCCTATTCATTCATGCATATGTAGACTTTTAACATTTAAATATGCCAGGCAAATATTATCTTGTTGATTGAGTTACACTAATATGGAGGGATTGATCGCTCCATATGGAGTTCGGTATCACCTGCAAGAGTACAAGGGGCCAAATCTTTTACCTAGGAATGCAAAGGAATTGTTTAATCACTGTCGTGCATCTTTTAGCAATGCCATGCCGATGTCTTTAAATGTTCTAAAAACAAGATTCCCAATTCTCAAACTTCCTCCTCAGTATGCTTTTCACACGAGGGATCTTGTCATAGCTGCATGCGTATTGCACAATCACATTCGACCAGAGGAGAAAGATGATTGATTGTTTAATAGCATTGAAACAGGGTCGACCGAGGAGTCTCCTGTTCTTGATGAAGAACCCGATCAACAGATTGGTTTCTCGATTGAGGAACATATGGCGTCTTAACAAAGAGACTCAATTGAAGCAGCAATTTCAACTGATTTCATCTGTAAATGGGATGAATGGTGACTACCAACATTCTGCCCCCAGTTGTATGTAGGACATACTTTGATAAAACTATATGTTTGGTTTTTCGTCCCTTTCCAAAGAAGCTGGATTCTAGCTCTCTTTTGGTCACATTCTGTCTATTAATAATGCAAGTGTAACATCAACTCGGGCTAAACATACCTTTTTTGCCCAAGATACAAGAAAGCTCTGTTGATAGGATTAAGATTAAGATGTCAAATTGAGGTTAGTGTTCTGTCTGCATTTTGATTTATCCTGCATTGCCTTTGTTGGTTTTTTGTTCTGGTTAATAATAGAGCATGTTTAGGTATGTTCAAAAACGGGGTACTTATAAGTTTTTAACCATGTCAACACCCCCATTTTCCACATAAGCCCAAGTTATTTGCCATTCATCAGAATGGCCTTTTGATGATTAAAAGACAAAATTACCCTTATGTTATACAATTACAAAAATATGATTTTGTTTAAAAGACAATAATACCCTTTGAGTTACAAAGTAAAAACCAAACATTTCTCACTTAAAATTTCAAAATCAAGTCACTTTCTTTATCTATTTACTCCAAATTTGATTAAAAAATTCTTTCATTTTTCATATACTTCCAACCTTAAAATCTCATAAATTTATCAAATGCTCAACCAAAAAATATTGTTTATAGCTATCACTTCGAATCGGTAAATATATTTACATATATTTAATTTCTCTTTTGTTAAAATAGTATATTGTTTTAATTATTAATTTTTATTTTGGTATAGACAGATAAATTTTTACATTTCTTAAACAGATTTATGATTTTTTTATAGCAAAAACGAGAAACATCATCTCTATGTATATTTTTTTAGACAGATTCATGGCCGTCTGTAAAAAGGCCAACCCAACCGTCTAGACATGAAGAACAGCCGGCCCAACTGTCTGGGCCGGCTCTTAGCAGGCGACCAACCTACTAGGCCATTAATAGCTGGCTGAACAATCTAGACCGGCAGTCAAAAGACTTTTTTTTCCCTATTATCTAATTTTTTTTTAAAAAAAAATCTGTTTCGTAATGCGGATATGAGATTGGCTGTAGTCTCCATTTGTTACTTTGGTGAATTTGATATAAATGAAAATGATTGATAGGCATGGAAATGGCCGAATGAAAGACGTAGTGCTATTGAAATTGTGATAACATCGAGTACATCATATGTAGGAATACACCATAATTTTGTTCGTGCTAAACCCTCAAACGTACAGGATTTTTGACAAGTAATAGAATTGATGAGTTAAGAGTATCGCCCCACAGAGAATAAATTCAATTCAAGTTTACTAGCTTTTTATGGGATTCAAATTTTGTAAACAAAAGAGAGTTTGTTTTTGTTTTATGTTAAATTAATCTAAATGTGATTTTTATCAATTTATAGATGATTGTATTAGATCTCGAATCTACCTATTACTATCTATTTCAATTCTTGATTTGTAATCTTATTTCGTTTATGCGTTTTTGACAATCGATAAAGTTATAATATATAATTTTTTTTCCAAGACAAATTAAAAATATCCTAAGCTCGACCCGAATATATTCCTAACCCGAATTCGAATTATTAGAATGCGGTAAGTTTAAATTATCTATATGATTGCATATGCGATAAATGTTATTCCTAACATCTATTGCACATATATTAATTTACTGTGTTCTAAACTTATTGTGAGTCTTATAACACTACAACAAGCAACTAATTATCAAATTGATGGTCAATCAATTAAATAATGCAATGGATATGCAAAATTAATCAAGAAACGCAAGAAATGAACTAAATTACTAGTTTTGAATTAAAATATAATAGAAAAATATCACTCGAATCGTGAAATAATTCAAAAGATGTTAATCTTCAAGCCCAATGTTGAATTCTTCAAAATCTTGATGTAATTGATCTTCAATTCTTTGCTAGGGCTTGATCTCCTATCTCAAAATATAGCAATTGGCCCCTTATTCTCGATAAATTTGATGATACTATTGTGTATGAAGAGGCAAGCTAGGTTTTTTTCCCAATGTGTAGCCTTTGTTCTCTATTTATAAGAGCTGGAAAATATGTCAAGATCACGTCCAATTTGGGTTCCAAAAGAGTTTGAATCGTGAAAGAAAATTGCTGATTCATATGTGAAAAAAGCATGCGCGCACACCGGCATAACTACCGTACGTGCGTCGTAAAGCCAAATGGCCCTCAGATTGGCCGATGAGAATTATACTAAATTGGCCAAGTATTTCTATAACATGGATATTACAAAATTTTGGCTCAACATTTTTTATTGAGATGGAGATCGAGAATTGTTTCAAATATTTCTTCATACCTCTTGGATAATGCATTCGGGGATTTCGAAATACAATGCGACCTCCAATTCTAGTCGACGGTATAACCCTGAAAGCTAGATACGATGACAAGTTGATTATTGCTACATTTCGAGATGCGAACATCCAATTTACCTTCTTGCACTTGGCATAGTCGATAGCGAGAATGATATGTCGATGTGTTTGTTCTTGAAAAAGTTTAGAGAAGTAATTGGGGACATCAATAACCTTGCCTTAGTAACTGATCGGGAACAATCTATAATAAATGGTATCGCTAAAGTTTTTCTCGATGCACATCATGAGTATTGCATGTATCATATACAAGGAAACCTGAAGACTAAGTATCGAGGCAGTGACATCGTTGCATTGTTTAAGAGTGCTGCAGAAGCTTACGGTTTTAAATAGTGTAATAAGTTCATAGTCAAAATAGAAAGTAAATTACATTTTGCATAGGAGTATCTGAAAAATATGGAGTATTGAACATTTGGCACGGTCACATTTTTCAAGACGTCGATACAATATGATGACGTCAAACAATGTGGAGTTGCTCAATGCATTATTCAAGAAAGATCGAGAGTTACCAATTTTAGCAATGATTGAGCACATTCATAACAAACTGTAGCAGTGGTTTCATGATCGACGTATGGAATCACATAGTTGTACAAGTGTGCTAATCTCGACTCAAGAAAATAAATTCTTCAAGACTCTAGAGGTGGAGAAAAAGGTACGTGTGGAACCACTGGATCATGTGCTCTTTTGTGATATGTGAATGTAAAATCGCATACACGTGGACTTCACTAATAACACCTACACTTGCAGACGATGTTAGTTGGTGAGTTTTTCATGTGAGCATGTAGTCGAAGTGGCTATACATAGAGGCTTCGCACCAAACACCTTATGTTTTCCTTATTACACAGCTACTCTTTGAAGAGCAGTGTATGCCGAGATTATATTTCCTTTACCAAATGAAACCAAATGGGAAGTTCTCGATCATATTTTCCCACTTAATACTTTGTTGCGACCAGAATTCGAACCGCGTGCTTCGGATGTAGACGTACGTCTAAAATACAATCTATCGATGAGTTTCATTGATCGCGTAGGTCGACATAATATGACATACTCACCAATTTTGTACAAATCGGATTCCTGTATATAACAATTCGACAGTTGTATAATCTCTATCGTGTTTATTGTAATTTGTTTGTTGTGTAATAATTATCGTCATTAAATATTCCAGTTACATAATTGCAACTTTTTAATAACTCATTTTGAATTAAAAACGAAGATATATGCTCAATTGGATGCAATTTAAAACATTTAAACAGTGATCGAAGACCAAAATTCGCTCAAAAAGCCGATCGGGATGACTTGTTTAGAGCTGGCCCAGACGGCTAGGCCGTCAATCGCCGGATGTTAACAGATAGCCAGGTTAGCCGCATTTTTTTCGTCATTTCACATTCGAATAATCTTCCGTTCAATTTTTATACTTGTAATTACTTCCAATTGAGCCTATTTGATCTTCGATCACCGTTTTATGTTC